GACCTGCTATACAATCATGATAAAAATATTATAACGAACCAGATTGTGTGATTATTTTTCTCTTGATTGCCTTATTTGGGTATTATTATTTCTCACACTTTTTTTTTTTTTTTTTTTTTTTTTTTTGTGTTTATGATAAATGAAGAGGGGGTGAAGGTGAACTGATTCTTTCTCTTTTTGAACACTTAGGCTCATTTCACAAACTATTATAGCACCATAGCTTGATGAACACACACACACACACACACACACAGAGAGATATCATTAGGGTGAAGAAACCCTAATCTGTCACAGAAATTTGATGTAAGTCCATACCCACGAAGACACCAAGATTTTACAAGGAAAACTCCTCTCAATAGGGATCAAAAACCTTGGTTCTTGGGTATTCACCCAATGCAAAATCTACTAGTTGTGTTGCAAGTTGATACACACCCTAGCTCACATAATGTGCGCACAACACACCCCTGTCCTAAGCACCCTTGCGTAAACCAAATAAGCCTTCACAACTCTTTAAATACAATATACATGATGTATAACAAATATACCATGGCTATTACACAAGATCAGAATGAATATATAGCTCAGATTATAAACTAATATAAGTACTCAACAAAATTTTTGCAAAATTTGTAATTTGAGATGTCAAAATGCAATGCAGCTACGATAAAGATGCAACATTGGTTCCAACAATGTTATTTCAACAAAATAAACTTGCTATGATGATAAACATAATGAATATAGCAAGGTATATCAATATCGACACACAAACAGAAAACCCTAAATGTCAAGGTGTAAAAGGCCAAAATCAGAAATGACCATTTCTCTGTGTGAATTTCAACTTAAACAGTCTCAAATTAACTATATAAACTTAATCAGATGATATAAATGATGCTCACAGTAAGATATCAACATAATATACTCATATCAGAAGCCTTACATGAGAAAATTCAATAATATAAAAGTCTAAGACATCAAAATGATTTGCAGCAGTATAATGACTGAAAACATAGTTTTTGCAGATGTAAAATGATAAAACAAACTTGCCTCAACCTTCACAGTGCTCTGAAAACGGCTCAAATCCATTTGATCCCTTTGAACCTTAAATTTGCACCAGAAAACAACACCATGTAACCTTCTCGTTGATCATCAAAGTTGTATGCTCTCATTATAGAATTTTGAGCTAAATTGAAGCTTAAATCATGGATCTAAAACTCAGAAAATCTTGTATATTTGGCACTCGAGACACACACAATGCAGCACCTTGACACTCACAATGCATAATTAGGAGGCTCACAAATGAGCTGTTGATATAAGCGTGTATATATACTTGTACAATGCAGTTGATGTAACCCTATTTTTAGATAGAATTATGACACTATATACTAATCATTGGAGGGAATATTCTAACATTCTCTATGTGAAAGGACACCTTTAGCCCTGCTAACTCACTTGTTTGTCCACTAGTGAACACACATTTTGAATGAACATACACACTCACACCAGCTGTATAATGAAAACTTAGTGCCAAAGATATGTGAATCGTCCAACAACTTTCTCTCACTAGAACCATAATGCATGTATCTGTTATGTGCACCATATACACTGAAATGACCAAAATGCCCTTCAAGAGTATAAATGTCACATATACAAGAATTTTGTGTAGTAGTCTATAAAATCTTAGAAGATGTAATTTCCTGAGCACAAAATAACAATGCAGCATCCAAGGCAAATACACAGAGTCCACACACATGTTTGAAAAGACTGACATGCCCCTGTGAGTGACAGATTCCACAATACACTCAATACACCAGAAAATTGACTGGGATTGGTCTGTAACATGTTCCGTGATACAACGTAACTTCCTCATTGTATATAAATTGAGCTCTCATATATGTAGAATAACCATACTATCCATGTATCTATCAGAATCATCTTGAGCACATCAAAATTGATGGAGTATCATAGTAATGGACTTGTGAGCTCACTTTTAACATTTAAAGAGCAAACCCTAGATAAAGGCTGGGACCAACAGTTTATTTTCTCATTAACTAATTAGTCATTCATCTAATAAACGATGATAAAAAAAGATAAAAAAATCATATCATGGCATGTAACGACCTCTCGCATAGAAAAGCTCTTACTGTAATGTGATATTATTGCACGGGCTATTTTCCCCTAGTTAGCATCTTGTTGACTAGCATTAGATGAGTTTTGTCTCACATCGGATTTGAATGAGAAAGAGATTGGTTATATATTGGCAAGTATGTAGTATTACTTAATAATTTAAGCTTTAAGGTCAGGAGCGAAGCAGTTACAGTTGGTATTAGAACTAAACCCAGCCTTTATCGAGTGTCACACCAAGCGCTAGTCTGGGTGTATAGACAGGGTAATCTTATCATGACGAGGGCATCATAAATTCAAACTTAAGCTTTTGAGTCAAAAGGTCGGTTACAACCAAACATATCCATTGACCCAATAGTTTGCCAGCTAAAGACAACCCCATAGTAAGCCTATGAAGGGGAGAAAAACTTAATTGCGCCAGTTGTATTAGTAACGTGGTATCACTAGCTTATTAGATACTGATACGTAATGATATGATCCACTAAAATAAAATACTTTTACTTGTATGATATGATACAATTGGTTGATGACACAAATACTTTAGTATTACAGGTGCACAGGAATGTTTCACCATGAAGGGACAGTGTCTAGTCAGCAACATGCGGACTCCACAAAAATATTACTTTACTTCAGGGGCAGAACCAAGATTTTAGTTTAGGGGAGGGGGGGGGGGGGGGCACAGTGTTAAGAATTTTTTATTTTTTTAAAAGGAGTAGAAGGGAAAACAAATAAGAAAAAGGAAAAAAATGTAAGAAAAATGACAACTTAAAAAGGAAAAAATTAAAATTTAATTTAACAAGAAAAATTAACCTTTTTTTTAGGTGTTTGGTTAGATAGAAATTTTTGACGGAAAGTGAAAGTGAAAGTGAAATAAAGTAAAGGAAATGAAAAGAAAATCAAGTTTTCACCATGTATTTGGTTAGCAAGATTTTTTTTTGAAGAAAGTGAGAAAATATTGTTTTGTGAGTTTGGAAAGAATGAAGTGAAAAAAAAGTGATTATAGTTTCCAAAACTACCCTTTAAATTATAAGATTACTTTGTACTCTTTTGAGACATTATCATATCTTCAGAATTATGAACAAAATAAAAATTTTAAGTTCAAAGATGAAATAATGAACATTATAGTATTTGTCTTGTATGTTTAATAATTAAATATGTGTGATTATAGGTGCAAGTTTAATTAATAAAAAATTTTGATCAGAAAAATCTTGAGGATAAAAGGTTGAAGTTAATCGAAATAAAGTACTTGGTACTAAATTAGTTTGATATATCTAATATACATAGAGTTAAAATTAAATGAGTTTGGTACATCTAGTATACCTTGAGTAGTTGAGTCCTAAAGTCACGAGAAGTTTATGTATAAAAAAAATACATGTTTGAATTAAATTCAAAACTTGTATATGATACACTAACCTAGTTTTTCCCCCAACACTCGGTTACTAAATACTCAGATATATATATATATATATATATATATATATATATATATATATATATATCACTCTCAATCATTATTAATTATGAAAGGAAAAAAATACAATAAAAATTTAATTTTGTATGCACATATAAAACTATATACAATTAAATTAGCATTACATTATTTTATAAGCAATTTACAAAAGAAGGAAACTCACTTGTTAGAGAAGTTTGTGGAGAAAGTGAGGAGGGTGACATAGGCATAATAGGAAACTAAAATATGAAGACACTACTTTCATGGGAAAGTAAAATTTGTCCATGCTTGATGTCAGAAAAATTTTGAGAAAAATCAAGCAATTGGAAGAAAATTACTTTGCTAACCAAACTCATATCAAATTTAAATATTTTTCATTTATTTTCTTTTCTTTTTTATCTACTTTATGCTAACCAAACAAACCCTTAAGAAATTTGAAGAGTAAATTAGAAAAAATAATAAAAAAATAAAAAAAATAAAAAATACAAGGGATAATTTTTAAAACTAATAATTTTAAGGGGAACATTATATATAAAATTCTATATATATACATATAAAATATAAAAATATTATCATATATATAGTGGGCAGGGCAGGAGGCCAAGGGGGGCACTTGCCCCCCTTGGCATACACCGGCACCTCTTCATGCATATGATATGGGTTGAACTTAGTGAAATTTCACACTAGGTTTTTAACGGCTGTGAGCTTTTTCATGGCAAAATCAATTCAACCCATTAATATCAATGAAATTTCATGATACATTCCACTATATATGCCTTGACTTAATCCAGTGTGCCCCCCTTGGCATACACCGGCACCTCTTCATGCATATGATATGGGGTTGAAATTAGTGAAATTTCACACTAGGATTTTAACGGCTGTGAGCTTTTTCATGGCAAAATCAATTCAACCCATTAATATCAATGAAATTTCATGATATATTCCACTATATATGCCTTGACTTAATCCAGTGTTTGCCACAAGCCACACATCATGCTTTTGTCACCCTCCACTTGCACAGTGTGATCATCTTTAGTTTCCATTTTGACTTAATATATTTCTCATGATAGCTTCCACTTTAACCACAACACAGTACCTCACAGTACTCTGTAATTCACATTTATGCTTCACTGCACCCACCCACCCACCCACCCGTGACCCACCCGCACACTTAATTAGAGAGAGAGAAATGTAATTCCTCCACGAAATGTTGTGCTGCTAACAACTTTTTGACCTAGGCGAAAATGACAAAGAAACTGTGTGTGTGTGTGTGTGTGTGTGTGTGTGTGTGAGAGAGAGAGAGAGAGAGAGAGGGAGAGAATTATGTAATCTCCCACGAAATGCGGTTTTGATAACACCCTTTTGACTTTGGGTGATTTTATTGCTTCCCACAATAACATGACAAACAACCATACATAGTGTCCACAATAAAATGTATATATAAATGGAGGAGTTGCTAGCTAGCTTCACAAAGTCCATAGCAATTGTGATCACTTGGTGTGCTACAGCAATGAGGGGCACTTATCTTCGTCTTGCACTAGTTGTTCTCTTGTGTTTAGCTCTCCTCAACTGCTTCAATGCTGTCCCAATTACAAGTAAAAACCTTCACCAACTCTGTGCTTAATTTCTCCATCTTCTTTACTAGATCTTCTTGATGATGATAAAACTTTCATTTATATTAATTTGCAGGAACCAAAAGTCTAATGCATGGAATTCATGGTCATGATGAAGTTTTAAAGAATACCCAAATGGTAATTTTACAGTCTTGATGATCCAAATCTATCAGAGATTTACTTCATGTTTTTGTTCATCATTATTGCATGTGTGGTGTTTTATATGGTAACACTAGCTGGTCTTTTAATATTCTTATATCACTAAGAGCAGTCTTTTGATATATACTTATAGGTTAATGCAGTGAAGAGGTGCGGGGTAGAAACCATGAAGGGAAGGATGGATGTCGAGCTCAACGATTATCCGGGATCAGGGGCAAATAATCGTCACACTCCAAGGTCACAAACAGGGAACTAGAGACTGTTTTTGATTGATTATTAGTAATATTAGCTAGGTAATTGGTGTTTGTCTGATCATCATCGTAATTGTAGTGTTAAGAGCAGTTTGTAGACATAATTTTGTTCCTTGATCACTTATTTAAAATGTTAGAAATCATCCGTATGTATTTTATATGAGATGAGAAATTCTTGAGAGAGAGAGAGAGAGAGTGGATTTAGATCAACTTCTGTTCATCATATATATGTATGAAAATTAAGCTGGCAATGAGTATGATTGATGTTAATGAGTTTCTTAATTTGCATTAACCTGATCAGCTTCTATTTGAAATTAAATTGCCACAGATCTTTAATTGCAAAACCTCATTTTTTTGAGTTGTGTCTTTGTTGCTTGGAATATAATTAATTTCTGCCACCTCCGATGTACCTCTCGTCTCGAGGAGTGAGTATTATGCGCCATTGGAGATTAGCACAATAGTAAGATTGCTCCATTGTGATCTGAACGTCACGATTGTTCCATTTTGATATGAACGTTACGATTCCAAATTGAAAACAATCTCCCTATACGAATACGTAGAAAACACTGTCTAACATTTTAATTCCACTCTTATAAAGACACTTAAAAAGCCCAAACCACCAAATATACACATTAAATTTGGGACTCAGATGCATCTAGACTCACTTAATGTACCAACCATATAAAAGTACTCTTGTAATTCTGTTATTTTCTATTCGAACTTAATTGTTGTGTGCCAAACACTGACCAAATTCTTGGCACCCTTGAGGCCTGAAAATGAAAGGAAATTAAAATGCTTCTCTGGCCAGGGAAAAGCACCGAAGTGCTGTCAGCCCTTAATTGAATGCAACAGAATCGTAACATAAAATCGCGTCTTTCCCTTGTGCCTTACTGTTTAGTACACAAGTGAAAAGAAATTCACACACACACACACCAAAACAAAACAAAAAAGTAATGAAGAAGAAGAAGAAATTGCAATTACTTTCTATGGTGTTTGACAACCAGATTAACTTTGAGTTCTTTGTAATGTACAATTTTTTTAAAATATAATAAAGCATATTAAAGAAACCACTTAAAATTCTTGGTAAATATCAAGAGCAACTTAGAAACTACTTTTATGTGTAGTGGAGGAAGTGGACTATGAGGTGTAGGGCATCCACTTTCTTACCACTACTATCTTCCCGGCCATTCCATGCCATTTGGGCTTCTTTGGATGGTCCCATAGAAGTGGTGCAAAAGGACACTAACTTATTTCCTATAAATGGCATTTCATGAACATCCCTCTTTTAAGTGAAGCATTACAATGAAAGATGTTTCATTTTAAAACGTGAATAACAAGATGGCATTCTGGGGATCAATTCATAGTTTCAGTAACACTGGACATTTCAAACTCGATATCATCAGGAAGGTAGATTAATTGCTAATTAGAGCTGCAAAATTAGGATTTATTATTATTATTATTGTTGTTGTGATAAGTAATTATGTATTTTCTTTTAGGCAATCAAAATACACATTAAGGGGAATACCCCAGATTAGTCATCCATGATACATACTCATCCAATATATATATGTATATATATATATATATATGGGCCCAATAATTGTATAAATTGATATATGTACACAGGTCCGGTAAGATTTGGGCTGAACTGAAGATATTGGGTCAAGGCTGATACAAAATAAAAGTTGGGGCTACTCTTGTTTGAAGAGTTTGCAACTAAATAAATAGCCACTAGTCAAATACTGTAATATTTCAGCGCTATTTATTTATTTCGTGTGTGACGTGTCACTTTAAATTGGGTGCTCTAGTATCACTTAATGAGTTGGATGTTTTTTAGGCCCTCTCCCGACCGGACAATATCCTTGGGACAAAAGGCATGTTCTTATTCTCTTAGTAGCATTTTGTTATTAAGGGGCCTTATACCACGGATCAAGAAGTCTAGGAAATAAAATAGGTATATATAGATTGGATATTAACACCAACAGTGCAAAGCACTCGGTCCATTATAACTAATATTAGAGTCTGGTCTAGAAGTATCCAGGTAGATAGGGTGATCAAACCGCACTGAGGGTGTTGCGAGTTTAGTAGGAAAAAATATTACAAGGAGGATTTGTCGCACATTAAATTCGGATAGAAAGTGAAATTGGTATATATAAAATAGGTGTTAGCACCACCTGATAACTTAATCTGTTGAATTTCGACCCATTACAAATTCCCTCTTTTCTAATTAATATTAATGAGTTTTTTAAACAAAGCAACAAATTATGAATGCACGATTTGTTTGATTTTTTATTGAAAATTTAGCCCTACTTTGTAACTTCAAAGCCCATCCTCTGCATACGCATTAATGAATTTAGTCCTACTTTGTAACTTTGCAAAAAGGTATTTATTAAAAGAAAAATGGCAAGTATCAATGAATAAAAAAATAAAATTATTTTAAAAATTTTGATGTTTACAAACATGGAAAAAGAAAATGTAATTTGCATATTAAAAAAAAAAAAAAAAAAAAAAAAAAAAAAAAAAAAAACTGATCCCTGAAACCTGTCCGACCCATCCAAAATATTCGGATTAGGTTATGAACACAACCTATTTTGGGTTGAGATTAGGTTGGGACTGGGTTGAGTTGCAGGCATGCAAAATAGACCGTAATTAAGTGACAAACCAAATAATGCTCCGTTTCTACTTGTAAATGTAGAGAAAATTGTAATACTATCCAAGTCACACAAAGCGAAGAAGGAGTGCAAAAGCGGCAAAATCTAAAATTTGATTAAAGTGAGAGCGCCTCCCGAACGCCTACACACTCATATAGTATTATGTGTGTATAAAATAAAAATATATTTGAAATATAAGTAACCTCATTTCTTTTATATTGAAAGATATATAATATTAATAATAATTAAAATACAAAAAATATATCATATTTTTTTATTTTTAAAGAAATGAGACATGAAAATTTCATATATTTATTCTAGATTCTTAAAAAGACGTTGTTTAAATTTTCATACATGAAATAATTACTTTAAATAGTTATAAAATAATAAACATCTTAACTAATAAAAGTAAAAGTAAAATTATATATATATTTTGTTTGCAAATATATATATTTCTATACAAGGTACACACACTTTAATACTTTTAGACTTATAAGAAAATAAAAATAAGCAATATGGTATTTTTTTTAATTTATTCTTCACATTTTTAACTTTTTTTATTAGGCACATTTGGTTGTTTTCATTAATAATAAATGTCACATGTAATTGTCCATACTTTTATGAATGAGAAATTGCGGTGAATTCGAGAATTCACAAATTGAATTCATGAATGCAATTCGTGCACAAGAGCGATACCACATTAGAAGGATTGTGTGACTTTGAATACTACAATAGTATGTATATACAATTTTTACAACTTTTTTTTTCTTTTATTTATTTATTTATTTTTAATTTGATGTATACCGACTGTATATTTTACAATGAAAATATTTATTTTTTCCTTTTCTCATCGTATCTTGTGATGTCATTAAACAACTAATATCGATATTTGAAGACCACGCCAACAACTTAAAAAAGAGTAAGAATTGTTATTTATTGATACTGCCTAACCTTTCGTAGTAGGAGGTCATTTGTTCAAGCCCACATAAGAACTCAAAAAACGAGGGTGTGACTTTCTTGCCATGCTTACCAAAAAAAAAAAAATTTAAATTCAAAACCACATCAATACTTGTTATATATATATATATAAATTACTCATCAAAGGTTACAAATTAGAAAATTAATTGCTCTCCTCGTATGGGCACATGGAGCAATATATGGTATCACTTTATCAGAAAGAGGCAGACAATGATTATAACTGCAAATTATCAACCCTCAGGGGATGGAGCAATTGCTGGTGGCTGGGAAGGAGCAATTGCTGGTGGCTGGGAAGGAGCATGAGCAGTACCATTAGTCAAAAATCCAAGTTTTCTGATGAGCTCATTAGCAATCAACTCATTTGCACTGTCTGATGGGTGGTACTCATCCCAAAACACATACTTGCTTCTATCTTTGCACAATATTGATGCAGGAACACATGTCAGAGCTGGTCTAATTTGCCCAAATGAGCAGCAAGGTGAGTCTGAGTTATTGAATCCTGCAAAAAAAAAAAAAAAAAAAACATAATATTGAGCTCAATAAGAAACAGAAGTGTGAGATTTGTATCATTTCCTATTCCATAATAAACTAGTGTACTATTGAACTAAATTTTGGGGAAAAAAATATACTGTACTATTGAACTTTTGCATTGAACCAAAAGTTACCAAATACTGTATTTTCCTTCTGTCAATTTTTAATTAGTAACTAAAAAAAAAAAAAAGTTATTTGTTTGATTTATACTCTTTTGTTATTTTATTAAATTATTAGTTTTAAAATTTGAAAAATAGGGTCATTTAAGTAATTTAAACCACAGTTAATGAAGATATGTAGGCGCAAGGAGAGTGATTTTTGACTTATATTAAAAGAAAAGAAAAAGTGATGTATTTGACATAAAATTTAGCTCACCAAAGGCCTGTGATATCAGTGATATCTAATTTAACTCGTGTGAATTATGTGTGTGAATTTTGTTGTCAATGAAAATATATATATATATATATATATATATATATATAGCTCGGAAGTTGCATAGTCTGATTTATTTATTTAACGTATGTTTTTTATACACACACCCACTATTTCCTCAATGGAGATTTGGTGGTCTCTTTCTTTCTGTTCACTTTGAAACTTCATTTAGAAAAACACGTACGTTGATTTTAATTTTCCACTGATTTAGTTTTCAGGTTCAGAAAATCAAAAAAGAAATATTTAAAGAAAAAGGAGAGAGAGAGAGAGAGAGAGAAGGAAATAAATGATACTGACCATGTTTGTGTGGATTGGTAATCACATCATTGACAACATCATAAGCATCTCCAAATCTGTAGCTTGCATTGGGGAGGGTCTTGGAGATGTCAACAATAAGCTTGTTTGTTGCCTGATTGAAACTGAGAGCCAATTTGTTTGTTCTATCTTGGCAATCCCCTGATGTACTCAGCACCCTCTGAAGTGGAATGCAACCCATTGGTCCAAGTCCAAACACCATCAACTGTCGTACCCCTAAACTATGCAATAGCTGCATATACATGCACAAATTAGTCACATCATTTTGTGTATAAAATACTGATTAGAGCAACTATCGTTCCTTTAAAATGGAGAGTCATATGTATTCTGAAGCATTCAGTAGTCCTGGATGCAGGGACGGACTTAGAGTATTAGGTTAGGGGGAGGCAATAGCAATATTTTATAAACCCCTCTCTCTTGTATATAGGTCCGTCCCGGTCTGGATGCATTAAAATGGGACTCATGAAGCACGCATACGTTTCGAAACATTTAATAGTCGATGGATGCATTGAAATAGAATCTATGAAAGACCAAATATATTCTGAAGCATCTAATAGTCATTAAATGCATTGAAGTAGAGTCCACGTGAGTTCCACTTCAAAACATCCAAAGGCTGCAAGATAATTTGGAATTGATTCGTCCTCCGAAGTTGGAGGACAAATCATTTTCATTTTCTGATTTTGTGTAACACTACCAAAATGTTGATGAGAACGAGTCTTACTTTAAGTTGTTCTTGGAGTGTTTCCATCAAGTAGGCCACGAAGCTTTGATCATTGTAAGTCCATGAATCGCTATAAACTGGCATCAAGTAGTTATTGATGAAATCGTTGCTTCCCAGAGCAACCACATACTGAGCTTCTTTGAAAAACTTATCAGCTTCTGTGCTGCCAATTCTTGCTTTTATTAGATCTTGTGTTCCTTGAAACAACTCAATTTGCTTGTACAGACAGAATCTTTGAATCTACATCATATATAACCAAATTTAAAGCTTATTTACACTGTTGAATATGCGTGTGTGTTATATAGGTAAAAGAAGTATTGGAGGATTGAGTTCATTGTTTCAACTTACAAATAAACCACCAGTTTCATTCAAAATCCCACCACCTCCAGAGGCATAATTCACTCCATTTGCCAATATAACGTCTTCGGTCAGAGATGGATCTAGAAAAGCTGGCGGCCTTGGAAGACCCATCTGGTCCCCTGAATGCACAATTATCACTTAAAATTTATACATACATATATATATATATATATATATATATATATATATATATATATATATAAATTACATGACTAGTTTCTTGTCTAATTCACTTTTGTAAATATAGTTTCGGGTTTTTTTTTTTTTTTTAATAAATATAGTTTTCAAAAAATAAGGAAAAAAACTGTTTTAAGATAAGTATAATAAAAAAGTTTCAAAAAATATACCCTTGGAGTTTTTAAAAAATATAAACCAAACATTTTTGTATAGTTTTATAATTCTTAGTTCCCAAAAACTGTCATTAGAAAACTGAACCAACTAGATCCTTTGTTTTGAATACGTTTTGAAGGAACGAAAAACTTTCAACTGTAACTGATTTACCAAAAAAAAGAAAAAAAAAAAACTCTTCTATTCTAACTTAATTAAGGGCTTAATTAAACTAACAAAATAGGGGACACTAGTAAATCCCAAAAAATATGAGTTGATCATGGAAATTGATACTGCTTATATGATCTTAAGTACATAAATCAAAGATAGTGCACCATATAAAATGCACACACACAAAGAAGAATTAATAAGTACCTATTATATCAGCCACTGTACGACCATTAGTGAACCTCCCATTAGGCATTCCATTGCCAAAATCAATGCCATACCACGGCAAGCTTGCCCTAGCCAAGCTCCTGGAGAGGTAGTTGTTGTTGCCGACATCCGACAGCGAGTCTCCGAAGATGAACTGCACAATTTTGCAGTGACACCCATCTATTGAAACCCCAAAGATGGTCACTATCACAGCCAATAATGCAACAGTTAACTTCATCTCTAAGTACCTTAATTAATTTTCAAGTACTACAATACCTGAAGCTATATAGTATCTTAGTGAAATGGTGTTACAGGTGTTGGATTTAAAGAGGATAGAGACATTGTGAAGTCTTGCAAGGCACCACCGGGGAATGTTGTTGGCTTTGGTGAAAAGTGGATTGTTTTAGAGAGAGAAAGAGAGGGGTAGAGAGAGAGAGAGAGGTTGATAAACAAACCGTTACTCATTCAAACCTACTGCAACTACCTTTGTTCTGTTTGTTACAACGGTAAGAGATGGTCCTGAACATAAATTTTATGATACTATATATATATGGGTGCCTTGGGATTTAAGAATTTTCCAGTTTTACTATTCCCACAACTGGTTAACGTTTGACTGTTGAGGTGAGTTCAACTACCATGTATTTGATTACGTGCATGTTGAAGATTTAGGCCCTTTTTTTCTCTCCCAATTCGTGTCTTTTAGTTAACAAAAGTGTTTCGAGAAAATAATAAAAAAGTATAAAAAGTCCAAGTTGTAACTTGTGGTAAAATCATCTGATTCCATTTTCTACAAGGTGTAACGTGAGGAAAAATTACTTGTCCCCATTTTCTGCGAGTAGTCCCGGGAAAATATTCATAAATAAAATAAAAGCAAAAATAAGAATGATTTATAAGATTTTTTAGTTACAGGGTTTTTAAATGTTCTTGTTAAAAATTACGATCCACATCACAACCCAAAGTGCTACATATATTTCATTTTAATTTCTCTTAATTCTTATTATAATGATCACATCTATTTTAAGGTCAATTAAAAATGACTTGTAACTAATAAATAGAAAAGACTTCTTCTACGAGTATATAATAATAATAATAATAGAAATAATTAAAGGAAGTCAAATACAAATATAATAGCAATTTGTGAATCAAGTATAATAATGTCTAGACAATTGAAAGTAATATTTTTACAAACTTATTTAAGAGAAAATATAACAGAGGGAAATGAAAAATGCAATCTATTTTTCTATGATCAAAATCATTTTTCTTTTCCTTTTTCCTTTTTTATTTTTTTATTTTTTATGTTTTCAATGTATCAGTGAACCAACGTGCATGTAAATTCTTACGTATTGATATTGTTGATACAAGAAAAAATTATGGGCCTAAGGACGAAGAATACAATATCCAACTTCCATTACATGCATATTGTGGGCGATGGGCCTTTCGCGTTAATGAGTTGAACTCTAAGTTCTAACCCAACAGCTTCTGTTGTTTGTGACTTGCATGGGAGGCTGAAATAGAACCGGCCCAATAGCCCATGCTTCAGCTGCATCCACATTCAAAGAAATGTTTTACTTTATTTAGTTACCATCTAAAGTAGGAGAAAATGACAGTGGCTCTCTCTACTTTTTCTCTCGCCTCTCTCTAACCCTCAACTGCTCGTTCTCTCCCTCCGTTTGAACCCCACCCCCTTCCATGGGGTTGGGAAGGTACTGATCCTCGCCTCCCACCGCTTAATAATCTCGGCGTATTGTAATTAGTTGCTCGGTGGATAGATTTTTACTCCGTTTTGTTATTATTTTGTTAGATCTGTTTCTGTTAGACTTGTTTCTGGCTTGAAGGGTAGATCTTATTTTTGTCTCCGGTCAGATCTCCGATCTATGTTTGATTTTGTTGTCCCTGCCTCTGTGTGGCTTTTGTTGTCCCTACCTCTTGTCCGGGGTTTGGGGGGTTTTTCTTTGTCGGTGGCATCTTATGAATGTAGCCTTGGAGTAGGTGTCTTGATGATGGCTTGACCTGTGGGTCACTCTCGTTGTTGTTTTCCTCCCTTGATGATTTCCGCTATTGCATTGTTTCTCAGCAAATTTGGAGCACGTTCTTCAGTTTTTCTTCTATTGTTTCATGATTTGTTTGTATTTATATGGCCATTTATGGCACTTTTTGTAGATGCCGTATGGCTGTTTCTTATTGTCAGGATAAAAAAAAAATTAAAAAAAAAAATCTAAAATAGGAGAAAGTCAAAAGTTTACCCTCGACTATCGTATCCCCTGGCCTATCAATCGTTAGATCATTTATCGAGTTAGATCATTTAATCGAGTGAGTCTCACTATTTCATCTAACGGCTGATAGGTTTTGGAATCTCACTGTCACATCTAACGACTTTGGGGTACGATAACCGAGGTAACGTGGACTTTCATTTAAACTTCATTTTTTGACATAAACAAACCAGCCATGGATGACCAACACCACCAGCTAACCCCATTGACCATCATCCTCCACCTTCAATACCACCACCAACCTTTCTTGTGCCGCCACTTTCCAGCATCACCGCTGTCACATGGACCCATATTAGTTGTGAATTGTGTTCTACTTTTGATCCATTATTCGAACTCGCAACAAATATGAAAATTATTACATTTGTTCCAAATCAAGATCTTATTTAGCGTTGAAATTTTTTAATTCAATCGAAGATCTAAAATCTTCCAAGGTCAGCCTAAAACAATCACCATATAAATGATATTTAATATGAAGAGTACAACCGGAGATAAAGTCCGGCGAGAGGTGACATAAATCATCACCCCCTTGATCGAGTCTTGCTGATGGTTATAAGTATAGTGTAATATTGTAAATTATAATTAAAAATTAAAAATTAAAAATTAAATAATATTCTTAATTCTCATCACTTCCCCACAACTCCAACTACTAACCTATAAAAGGAAGCGTCAGTTAACTTGAAATGTATGGGAAAATTTTATTAAAAGAGGGGTCGATTAACTCAAAAGTAGGCACCACGTTAGAGCCGGCCTCAGTTACCACTTCTCTTCCTTTGCAACAAAGATACATCTATTTAAAATTTTCTTTTAGCCTAAAATTAATTTGCTTATGCCATAAGAACCAATTAACACTTCCATTTTAAAGCAATAATAATAATAATAATAATAAATAAATAAATAAAACAATAATTTTTTGTCATAAAAATAGATAATATCATTCATGATATTTAGGATCAACAATTTATTAAGCATATATGAAAGACTTATATGGCTTTATACATTGAAGGATCAAGAAACATTTCCTAAAATTCAAAACATATATATGGCCTTTTCCGTTTTCCTTTTACGTGATTAGCAGCACGATTTTGTTGCATGGCTGCAAGAATTGGATCCCATTCCAAATCATCTAAGAGTGGAGTGCAATGTATAAAAATTTCATAGTCCACTGGCTTCATTTCTATCTCAAGGAGAGAGAATGGAAGGTTTTTTAGAGAGAGAATTAGAAGGGTTTCTTAAGTGAGGCTTAGATAGAGAGGGGTTTCTCAGGTGAGGCCAAGACTGAGGGAGACGGAGGGCGTGGGGATATCTATATATAAGGTCACAAGTAATGGTTTGAAAATGACCAAAATGCACTCTTAAAAAAACGAGAAATTATTATATGGTCCCGGCCAATTACATGCCATCACAAAGAAAAAAACTGACCCAATTACATATATGACTTCATGTGATTTGCCGAGACTATGTAATAATTTCGTCAAAATAAGTGTTACATTTTAAACCAAAAGAATTGCATAATTAATCTTTAAGTGTCACTAGTGGACCACCAAAGAAGTCATTAGATTTCTCTTTTACTATACTTTTATTCAATGTAATTACTCATTAGTTGCCTTAAGTGCATAAAAGTCATGCTAATATGTGAATTTAGGAAACCCCAAAGAAGTGTTTGTAATCTTTTACGTATATTCCGTTCCCTTCTTTTATATTTTTCATTTGACTTCATTGCATTCATCCAAGTTTCAGATCAAAACTTTCTTAATTAACATTAATTGCACCACTTTTTTTTTTTACTAAATAATAATTTTCATTTGAGCATTAATATATATCACCAAATTTCTCATAGGTCCACCCTTATAGTATACTACCTATCCCAATGAATTGAATGTAATTTGCTTTTCAAAACTAAAAAAAAAAAAAAAAATGAATGTAATTTAAAAAATTGTAGCAAAAAATTGGCATTGCACAACAACGTACATAAAGGTGCAATTCATTTGAATTGATATTGCATGTAGGTGTAAAAACTTCAAAATTTTCACAAATACCACCCTGAGAAGTGTCAATGCACCAATTAGTATCTAGATCTTGTTTTATAAATTATTACCATTAGAAAATTAAATACCTTATTGAATGTTGGGCATGCTATTATTACCAAGCTATTATTTTTATTTTTTAAGCATATGACGTGTGCTATGCGGAGTGGTCGTGGTCAGTTTGGGAAAAACACTTGAGGGGTTGAATAAAGTGTTAACTTGCTCCTTTACTTAAATTTTTACTTCTTTTTTACATTACAAAAATAAAACAAAATAACCCGCCAAGTATAAATTAAAGTGTAAGTAAAATAAATATGAATAAGAGATTGACACCTGAATTTTGTGCACGGTACCCTTATTGGAAAAAATACAGCCAACTGAGATGAAAACCAAGGTGTTTGGGTCTTATTGTGACTTCGGGCTTTACGGTAGGCTTAAGGGCTATTTTGTAATCATGCTATTTTTCTATTTTACGTTTATATTATTTATGTTATCTTCTTCGGCTCCACTTCTCCTCTCATACACGCATACGGGCATAAGTGGAGCGATGTTCCTACTTAAATTTTTATATTTTCATCTGATATCTTAATTTTTTAAAATTTATGAAGACGCCCCACTAAAATTATAATACGCCCCACTGCATTTTATATTTCAAATTTTTTAGAATTTGTGAAGATTCCCCAACTGCATTTTATATTTCAAATTTTTTAGAATTTGTGAAGATTCCCCAACTAATATTACAATTCACCCCACTTTATTTATTTATTTATTTTTTTGCATTTTACTTTAATTTTTTAAAAATTTATGACGAAAACTCCGTTGAAAGTACAAAAATGAACCCACTATATAAATTTGCCCCCACAAATTAAAAAACCGCCCCACTCATAAAAATTTTCTGGATCCGTCACCTCGCGCGTGCACATATATATATATATTCCTTTTTG